AAATCCCATTTTTCTTAATTATACGTCCAAACTAAAAAGCCAAAAACACAAAAACTGTTACTGCATAGACAGAGACATCTTGACAGACTACATTAACCACGTGGTTGCCAGCGCATTGTCTAGAGGAACAGAGTGCCTTTGATTGGATCCCTGCAATCTCACCTGAGTGGTAGAAATATAGCAGCACCTTATATGTATTGACCAGCAATAATGGGCCTGTTTGTAAAGATTTACAGATAGTCCTTATGTGCACAATTCTTTACAATCATCATAGGTAATATAAGAAAGTTGGTTCTACTCTCAAATATCTCCTATATTTTTCTTACTTCTACTCCAACAAAATAGGATTTCTTTTTAGAATGAGGCATCAAATTCATTTCAAAATCCCCTTCCTCATTTAAATTATGCATGTCCCTAAAATAAATAAATGAAACTATTTAATCATTTAGTATTCCAGTTATAGAAACAAACAGGAAATGCCATAGTAAATTTAAAGAAGCCTGGTCAAAGCGATGATAAGTATCATTGCAAGTTAAGTCAAGATGGAGATGGACATAAATATAACTAGAATCCATGATTTTCATTTAATTGACAAATATTGATTTCTGTATTCATCTTGTAAAAATGTATCTATCTATACTTGGCAATTCTCAATGACAAATAATTATATTATGAGTTAATCTTAAAAAAAAGTGAAACATCCTTAAATCTACATTGAGATTAAGCAATAAAGTTGGAATAAGAAACATGAAATGCTTTTAAGGAAAAAATGGTATTCAAAAGTAATGAAATAAGGGCCAGCCCAGTGGCCTAGTGGTTAAGTTCATGTGCTCCAGTTCAGCAGCCTGGGGTTCACAGGTTCGGATCCCGGCACGGACCTATGCACTGCTTATCAAGCCATGCTGTGGCAGGTGTCCCACATATACAGTAGAGGAAGATGGGCACGGATGGTAGCTCAGGGCTAATCTTCCTCACCAAAAAAATAAATAAATAAATAATGAGACAAGATGAAGAGTAAAATATACAGCTTGATCAAGTATTTTTTGCAGAAACTTTTCTTCCAGTTGTTCATCACTAAATCATTTAGAAGGACGGCAGAGTATTTTCCAACCTGTCTTGCCTCAGTGAAATCACATTTTCTCCTTTCCTGAAACCAGGGTTTTTTTATCCCTTACAAATGTAAAATTTCAGATAAAAGTTAATACAGAGTTCTGACTTGAACTCTACAGTAGCGAGGAATTCTAAAAAACTTAAGACCAAAAGAAACTTGTTAACTTGAGTTTTTCAATGTACGATAGAAACATAACTTCTTCTCTAAACAATTTATTTTTAAATAAACTCTAACCTAGTTCTTAAAAATCTAATATGGTAGCTGTTGAGAGAAATAATAAATATTGTACTTTAGTTTTTAGATATACTCTTCTATATAATGTAATTTCAGTCTCCAATGACTCATGTGGGTCTAGAAAGTACATTGTTCACTCTATGATATTCACTCTACTCACTACTTAAAATAATTGGATTTTATTTTTAAAATATATCTTTGGAGTACACCTCATGTCCCTAAAGATGTTTTCTATTTTGTAGCAATTTGTGAAATGTCTCATTTCACTTAAAATTCATTTTATAGCAAAAGAGTATCATATTGAACCAAAAGTTTCTCTAGGATGATTCACATTTTTCTTGCCAGGCATTGTGACTGAATTTAGGTTGTTAGGCTAATTGTATAAGAAATTGTGCATAATACCTGTTCCAGGTTTCTATTCCTGTATAACAAACTATCCCAAAACTTAGCAGCTTAAAACAACAATTTATTATTTTCTCTTATAGTTCTGGAAGCTGATGGGTTCAGCTGGGCAGTTCCTGTTTAACATACTCATAAAGGCAGAGGCAAATCATGACAGTTGCTGGAGTCATCTGAAGGCATCTTTACTCATATATCTGGTGCGTAGGCTTTGGGAAGGCAGGACGAGCTGGGAGCCAGTCTGGTTGGGAATATTTCTCCCCTCCTCTTTCCTTCCCTCCTTTTCTCTCCCCCACCCCCCACCCCACAGGCCCCTTGTGACTTTTCCAAATGGTAGGCTGGGGTTTCCTCATAGTCCTGGCAGTCTCAGGGTAATTAGACTTCTTCCACGGTGGCTGACTTCTCCCAAGAAAACATTCCAAGTTGCCTCAATGGAAACTGCAAGACATAAGCCAGCCTCAGAAGTCTCAGAATGTCACTCCACCACATTCTGGCTATCTTATTTTACCACAATACCTATTTGAAAATGAAATATTGCCAGATTTCTTTAAACGTCTTCTTCCCTCCACAGAGAATTCAAGAGATTGAGATTAGCATAAAACCCCTAAACTCAGGGTATGTTAGTTATTTAACTAATGTATTAATTGGTTAATAATTAGCAATTAAGAAAAACAATATGGAAACTAATATACAATTTTCCTTTGTGCTCAGTTTGGCTTTTTGACAAAAACATTTTTCAGAAAATATTTTTACATGATTATCAAGAACGTGCTCTGTGGATGATATCTAGCCATTAATACGAAGGTCAGGAATCATGCAAAGAATAAGTGATCTCAGCCACTTTCAATCTCATTCCAATTTTCCTCCTAACTCATCAGGAGCATCAAAAGCTGCAAAGTGCGTTTCTGAGAGTGTTTAGCACTCCCCAAAATATCCCAGCTGCCACAGCGCCGTCAAACGGAACCACTCTGCTTCCCAGACTTTCCATGTTTTGGTATGTTCAGCAAAACCCATCTTCATTGCAGCTGGAGGATTACCATAGAAGCGTGATTTGAGACAAAGATACGTATTAAGCTAAGAAAAATATTTTAAATGACACAACCAAATTCTCAAATGTATAGACTGATGCTAAGAATTGTGTTCTCCTCACGGCAGATGATTTACCTAAATAAGCCAGCTGTGTTACTTTTACGTGTCTGTTTCAGTTATTTATTATTGCATAACAAACGACCCCAAACTTAATGGCTTGAAGGAATCACCATTTTATTATATCTCAACAACTCTATAGAGCAGCATTTTGGTCAGAGCTCAACTGGGCAACTCTTCTCTACACAGCACTGACCTAGGTCACTTAGTGATATTCAGCTGGCAGCTGGACTGGGCTGGAGGGTCTAAGATAACTTCACTCACATGCCTGACACCTGGGCTGACCCCCGGCTCCTTTCAGTGGATTCTTGGGTACTCTCCAGGAGGCGTCTCCAGCAGAGTAGTCAGACTTCTCACATGACGGCTCAGAGTTCCAGTGGCAAGTGTTCCAAAAGACAGGAAAGGAAGCTGCCAATATCATGAGGCCTGGGCAGGATACTGGCACAGCATCACTTTTGCCAGATTCTCTTGGTCAAAAGAGCCACAAAAGAGCTCCCTCCAGATTCAGGGAGAGAAGGCATAGACCCCATCTCTTGATAAAAAGAATTTGCAGTTATCTTTAATTTGCCATAGGGCCCGTGAGGAAGCAGACAATTCTAAAGCCATAAGCTAGAATCTCTCTTGGAGTTAGTTGAAAGCTAGATACACAGAGAAGACTCAATTAATGTGAATTAGAAGTAACAATGAACCAAATATACAGAGGATATTACTTACTTTAGACTGAAAAGGAGAATTCAGAAATATTAAATGTGAAAATGTTTCCCAATTATAGTTAAATCAAGATCCTTTAATACATAAAGGAACTGAATGGGACTTTTTAAAAAATTGCTTATCATATATCCTCTATCTATTAGGAGGTGAACACCAGTTATAATGTGTTACATGCTTCTCTACAATCAGAAGTTACTTGTAGAAATAAAATACTAATATTTTTAAAGTTATTTTTTGGTCGGGGGATATATGGCCTTCCTCTTTCAAAAGCTAAAGAAAGATTAAAGTGTACATTTTATATTCAGTTTTCAAAGCAAGACTTAGGTCTTAGTTGACTGTGTTTACTACTGCTGTATAAATGAGCCATTTGAAGCAATATACACTCCCGGAAGATGAATAATAGAAAACTTAAGTTAGCAGGGCCCTTCACAATCTAACCTAAGACACTCTCTCAGCTTCATTTATCACTGGTTTCTTCCTAATGCCCACTAGTCAAAGACCACAAGAACACATCTATAATTGAACAAGCTGTGTTTATTACTCATTGCAGTAAGGGAGACCCAATACCATTAGGAACTGTGGGCATCTCAGTAAGCAGGTGTTAGGGCTTATTATAGGATTTGGGCTTGTGTTCCGGACTTTGACTATCTTACTTAGGAGGAAGAAAGACTAGTCCAAGGTTAAGGTTGTAATTGGTAGAGAAGCAGAAGTCATCATATTAGACCGGATACAGTGATGTTCGGTCATTTTTGTGACTTGGACAATGTTCATGTTTTCCCTATGTTCAGATATGATAATAGAGTGATCTTATTCTTTTCTTGATCCATCACTGACAGAATAACCTTGTCTGATGTCGATGTTCTGTGAAATTGTTTACGTTCAGCAGGAGAACACCAATTCCTAATCCAGGCTAGCTCGGGACACCAGAGGCTGCTTTTCTCTTGAACATTCCGAACATGCCGTACTCATACGGGCCTTGAGTTTTCTCTGCCCTCTATCCGTACTTCTGTTCTATTCAGTTCCCTCTTGTCTTCAGGAATCCTTCCCTTAGCACTTCAATTCAGTTTTCTCTCTGACATCCTCCGCTGGCAGAGTACTGCAAGAAGGGAGAGGTTTATTTTCCTGTTCCATAGACTAGAGCACACGTGTTGAGACTGCCTCACCGAATTCAGTAAACTCGTCCTACAAACGGGCCCCAAGCATCCTGACAAGAACTCAGGTCTGAATGAATCAGTGTTAGAAACAACGGCGGTCTTGATCCTCCAGGAGCCTGGCGCGAGACTACATTTCCCACAATCCTTCAAGGCCGACAGGGTGCAGCGACGTTCTTAACTACAATTCCCACAATCCTCGGAGCCCGCCACTTGGTGGCGTTGTCTGAGAGCTCCGCCCCATTTCCCATCTTCCTTTTCGGTCCTCGCACACCCGGGAACAAGGTCGTGAAAACAGGAGCGTTTGCGGTGGTGCCGCCATTTCTTCCGCCTTCGGTCTCTGCTCCTGTTGCAGAGCTTCCGACAGCGCTATGCTGGGACAGAGCGTCCGGAGATTCACAACCTCCGTGGTCCGTAGGAGCCACTATGAGGAGGGCCCAGGGAAGGTCAGTGTGTCAGGGCCCGGCTTCGGGGGGAGTGGGGGAGGGCGACTTGGTGCGACTCGCTGAACTTCGAGGCCGAGGAGAGGGAGGTGGTAAGCCGGGAGACTGACTGGGACGCCGAGTAGCGCTCCCCTTGCCCCAGGGAGCAGGGAGAGAGCTCAGGCCGCGGGAGGTTGAGTAGGTAGAGGCGGAGGCCCTCCCTCGCCCGGCGTCCTCCCCCGCCCCCCAAGATCTCGAAGGCCCTGGAGAGCATGGCTGCTGCTCTTGTGGCTTAAAGCTGCTAGAGGTCACCCGACTCGGAGTGAAGGTCGCTGGAAGCTAGTGAGGCTATGAAGGCCTGTGCTTGTGGCTCGAGTCTTAACTAACTGGTTGACTAAATGAGAAGCATTAGCCCTCCTTGGTTGAGGTTGGGTTTAGCCTGGAGTGTGAAAAGCTCAGATCGGTAGTTAGCAGTAACCACCTCCGAGGGTTCTGTGAGGCCTGGTGGTAAAGGGCTGAGAAAGGGTGTGGAGGATCGGGCTGCTTGGTTAGGAAAAAGTCCTGCTCCGTAGTGCAGTTAACATTGCCGCGCGCCCTTATTAGGTGGCTAGTGTCTAACGAATAGTAAACCAGAACAGTGTATTCTGTTTCTAAAATAAACTCCTTTGGAGAGTAAATTTTTTTGATTTATAAAATAGAAGAGAAAATTCTCACTGTTTTACACCTGAGCCCTTAAGACCACTGCCTGGTGCTCAGTAAAGCCAGATGTGTTTTACCTTCTAAGGTTATGTGTGATGAAGGTCGTAGGATTTGAAAGGTAATTGTGTTTAAAAAGGTGCTATGATGTATGGCGTATATAACTTGATTATATGAACAATCATCTAGCGTCCCTTGTGTACTTACTTTTGATCTGTAAAATCAGGTGACTTGAAGTTCTGTTTTTATCCCAACAGAATTTGCCATTTTCAGTAGAAAACAAGTGGCGGTTACTAGCTTCCATGATTCTATTCTTGGGATCTGGCTTTGCTGCACCTTTCTTTATAGTAAGACACCAACTGCTTAAGAAATAAGGATGTTTCACTTAATCCATGGAACAGGTAATTATTGGATTTCTCATCTTCTCAATGCTTTCCCTTTTCTTTCTCACTCCCCCCCGCCAAAAAAAAAACCACATAAATATACGTTTTTGTGTATATTCATTCCTGAAGTTAAGTGTAGATGTGACATTAGTGGAGATAGGTTGATAAACCTGTAAACAAATGTTTCTTTGCCTGAAAGCCAGTGTTTATTGAGTACTACTGTTTGTCAGGCACTCTTTACATTAAGAATCTGATGTGGTTTCCTAACAAGCCTGTGAGGTGGATGATATTAACCTGATCTGAGACACAAAGATGTTAAATTGCCCGATATCCCGTAGCTAGTGACGGTGGACCAGGATTTCTACCCAGTCTTGTTCCAGAGCTCGCAGTCTTAACCAGGTAAAGTTCTAGTAGACTGATTAATGTTACTCTGTTTTGAGGCGATATATGTTAGTATACGCTCAAAGGAGTCTTGTACGCTGGGAGGTTAGCTAATTCCCTGCATGAGTAGAAAAGACTTAGTTAGCTTAATTGTAATGAGAATTTTTCTCAAAGCAACACTGTAGAAGGCTTTGTGGGATGATTGGAATAGATTCCAAAGTAACTTTGGAAAAGAAGGCTTGATTTGTTATGGTTTAGAAGGGGAATGATTTTTCCAAGCCATTAATATGGAAAGATTTTGGTGCAGATGATGAAGCAAATCAGTATGAATAAAGTCATGATACTGTAAACGCTTTCTGATGTACCGCTCATAAACTGATGGACAGACAGTACATTAATGAAAATACACGAGTTCTGTTAAATGAATGGGATTTTTTTAATACCATTAATTTTTTGTGTTTTTATTCACAGATGTGAAGAGAAGCATTTTAAGAAGTGCAGTCTCTATGAAAAATGAATCAAACTCTTAAACTCAATGTACTAAATATGTTTGTAAATAAACTTAAGGCATGAATCCTCAGTGCCTCTCTGAACTATGGAATGGGATAACTGAGCATGTGCTTCCTGTTTTGTTAGGGCAATATTCCGGTATTAGGTTCTTGATCAAATTATGTGTGCAGTTTAGCTTATTGCTTGGTCTTAAATTCTGAGGTTTTATTTGGTTTTTGATTCCTAGATCAAGACCTAGTTGGTAATTTATGTTATAAAAGAGAAATGCAAACTTGATTTTGGTTGTCCTGTAATAATTTTTTTTAAGGGAGAAAAAAAGTATACTTTTAGTCTCCCCCTTTACTTTGAAGCAGTAGAATCATTTTTCTCCATGACTGATAATTAATCATGAGGAAACCGTTAGTGTATACAGATTGAAGTTCAAGAGCTTCATTTTTTTACTCCAGACCTGTAACCTAAAACTGAAGTTTTTGCCTCGATAAATTTGCTACTGACCAATATTAGTCTTGTTTAGACTGAATAAAAGAATATTTGAAATGGAATGTAATAGCATGTAAGAGGGAATGTAGGAAATATTCCCAATTTATTCTGGAGCTTTGACTAGTAGAAATGGGTTAAAAGATTGGCTCTCATTAGTAATTGTATCAATGAATCAAATTTACATTAGTAGTAAAATGTTGCTTGCCACTTCAAGTGCAATGACGTAGTTTCTAGGGTTTTGTATTAGGGCAGGGAAAAAGTAATTAGCTACTGAATATTTTAATCCCAGTTTGGTCATTTTTGGAATACAGTTGGTGTTAGAAGAGTACTGGAAAGCAGAGGTTGTAAACTCATGGTCTGTTTGGCCCCAGACTTTTTGGTGAGAGGTGCTGCTGTACTGTTTTTAAACCGATATTTTAAAACCAGAATATTAACATAATCTGTATTTCTGAATTCTCGAAAAGTTGCTCTGGGTGGTTCTACATTCCTCCCTGGAACAGAACAGCTGCCTAGGTCAGTTCTCACCCTAACATTACATTTCCTGTATGCCACTAGTGTTAAATTACTGATTTACTGGAACCTTAAATTTTTTATTTTTCTCTCGATTTGTGTGATAGGGCCTATCTTTAGACTCTTGGGTAACCACCTGGCGACTAGGTAAATACGGATGCAAGTTAATATATATATGTTTGTCCAGCCATTCCTGGTACCTGTGTCATTGTTTTTTGATTATCCATTGATGAATCAGATGTTGTCCTATGTTGGGGGAGTTTTTCTTTTTTTTTTCTTTCTTTTTTTTTTTTTTTTGAGGAAGATTGGCCCTGCGCTAACATCTATTGCCAATCATCCTCTTGTTTCTTTTTTATTCCGAAAGCCCCAGTACATAGTTGTGTATCATAGTCATAGAGTTGTAGCTCTTCTATATGGTACACTGCTTCAGCATGGCTTGATGAGCAGTGAGTAGGTCCGTGCCCAGGATCCGAACTAGTGAACCCTGGGCCACCGTAGCGGAATGTCTGAACTTAACCACTGTCCCACCTGGCCAGCCCCTTGGGGAGTTTTTCTATGGAACGTTAAGGCTTTCTACCTTTGGGTACAGTAGAAGCAGGAGCAAGAGTTT